GTTGTCATCAAAGCAGGTGACCTCTCATTATCCAGTGACTTTACAGCAACATGGATCTCCAATGTGGTTGTCATCAAAGCAGGTGACCTCTCATTATGCAATGGCTTTACAGCAACAAGGATCTTCACTGTTTCACAGCTGTACATATCAGCAGGCGAATGTAAGGTGCCTTCAGACTTCCAGACTGACTTTTAACAGAACCAAGTGGTTCAAACAGGCAGATGAAAGCGGGAATGTGGGGTTTTTCTGTCTTTTCTATGGCAATTGATACTTCAGCACAATAGAAATCCCACTGCTCCTCAAGAAAGACCTGGACCTGTTAGAACAAATCCAGAGGAGGCCACGAGGATGATGCGAGGGCTGGAACAGCTCTGCTGTGAGGACAGGCTGAGAGAGTTGGGGCTGTTCAGCCTGGAGAAGAGAAGGCTCCAGGGAGACCTTCTAGTGGCCTCCCAGTACCTGAAGGGGCTCCAGGAAGGCTGGGGAAGGACTTTGGCCAAGGGCAGGGAGTGACAGAACAAGGGATGATGGCTTGAAAGTGGAAGAGGGGAGGTTTAGATGAGATGTGAGGAAGAAGTTCTTCACTGTGAGGGTGGTCAGACACTGGAACAGGTTTCCCAGAGAAGCTGTGGCTGCTCCTCTGTGGAAGTGTTGAAGGCCAGGTTGGATGAGGCTTTGAGCAACCTGGTCTAGTGGAAGGTGTCCCTGCTGATGGCAGGGGGGTTGGAACTGGGGGAGCTTTAAGGTCCCTTCCAACCCAGACCAGTCTATGATTCCAGTATGATTCTATTAGGATGACTTTATTTCTCTGTGAGCACGTGCCTGATAGTGCACTTGTGCTGTGTGACGGACGCTGGCCGAGTCCATCAGTGACAGCTGTGTGCCAAAACTCTGTGAAAATTCTTGCAGCCAAAGCAAAACTGGCAAATGTTTGGCTTTCCTCCAGCCTGGCTCACGGGGACGCGGGATCTGAGGGTTGAACTGCTGTGTTTACAGCACTGAAAAGCAGTTCTAGGCATGGTTCTTGTCAGCAGTGGAGAGCATACAACAGCTCTTATTTTGCTGATCTCTGCTGCCTCTAAAGTCTTAGAAACCTTTTATATTTTTTTTTCCTCATCACCCTCACGCTCAAGCAGGGTGGAAAACTCTCTGCTCTGATTCCTTGGAAAGAGCACAGCTGCATAAAATATTGGGTGCTTTAATCATGAAACTTTATTTTTTGACATAAATAGTGAGGAGTCACCTCTCACATCTTCTCATCCCCTCTTCAGAAATGCTTTTTTTTAATCCATGAGCATCTCTTGCATCATAGGACAGCTATCAAGTATGACTCTGAAAATCATGTTGTAAAGGAAAACCTCTGCCAGCTGCAGAGGTGAGGAGCAAAGGAGCAGAAGGTGATGACCACCATTTCACACTGTGTTTTTCTCCCGGAGCCTGAGCTTCAAGCATGATTTGGCACAATGGCATCTGTCCCAAGGTCCCATGTGCCTTCCAACCTTCCCTTGGTGGGGCAGGATGGGAGCTCCTCACTTCTGTGCATTTCTAGACCTGTGTGTCTCTGTGTGCATATTAAACACTAATTAAAGTGGGCAGAAGGATGGTGTTGGCCATAAATCATCACTAATGATGCTCACTGAGGCATTTGTGTTGGGGCAAAATGACAGTCTGGTGTAGTGGGTGGAAAAGCAATGGCCAACCCTGCTCAAGGTGTGGCTTTGCTGTTTGTTGTTGACAATAATTAAGGGTCTGTAAATAGCCTCAAACAGCATGTTTGTTAATATTTCTATAAATTAATAACTCATAAGTACTAGGCTCCTATGTTGTCTTGTGTAGACCATGACCCATCCAGGTGCTGCCCTGTCTGCCACCCCAGCCATGGATGGAAGCAAGGACAGAGGTCAATGCTGTTGGGAGGATTGATGTGAAGGTGATCAACCTCAAGTGAGTTTGTCCAGGTGCTCAGACTCCTTCCCATGGATGGGAGCCTACAAGCCTACTATTGGTCACTGGGGTGGTGCTGTAGGGATCTGTGGAGAAGATCCTTAAGCAGGGAAAGGACAGCAGTAAGAGTTGCAGGAGAAAATCAAGCACCAATACATTAGTGACCATTTCTCATAATCTCCAGAGTTGCTGGTGTTGGCATTATTTCTGCCCCTTGAGATCCCAAGTTACATACAGAACCAGAACAATATCTCTGATCTTTGGACCCAAAGGGCAAAGCAGAAATGCATTCATAGGTGCTGATGTTGGTGTACCCCTGTGGAGAGTTGGGGCAGCCACTGCAGGTCTGTCCTGTGGTCGCCCAGAAAGTGGGTGGTGGGAACCAGCCCCTCTGTGCTCTGTGGGCAAAAGCATGGCAGTCCTCTTGGAAAGGTGGCAGCGGTGGTATGAAGAAGAGGAGAAACCCTTCTAGAAGTGTGTTTTCACACTGGTCCCTCCAGTGAAGAGCAGAGCTGTTAGGTGCATGATGCCCGTGCCTATGGGATGGTGCTGGCATCATGCACTTGAGGACGCATCTACTTGGAGGTGTTTAGGCAGCACAGTTACCAAAGAAAACTTTGAAGTGTTACACCAACACCTAGCACCAAGAAAAAATCAAATTGCTTTGAAGACACAACAGGGTTTGTTAATTGACTATGCACACAGCTTCAATTTGCATGGAGGTGATGAGCCGTGATTGTCCATCTTAAATAGTCATTTTCTTTTACACCCGCTGTTCAGAGGTATCCTTAAAACAGAATGACATCTTTTGGTGCATTTTCAATGGGTCTTTCCTGTTCTTTCTTCTTAGAATATCTGGCGTGGTCATAGAAATATATGATGATGATAGAAGCGATGTTCAGAAAAATGATGAGCAGCATGATCCAATATGAATATCCATAAGAGTGTGTGGATTTGATATGGTTCTGCAGAAGAGAAAAACATCCACGGGCCAATTCTATAGACAGGCCATTTACTTCTATGTTCACAGGAAAAAGTATCATGGTTATAAGTATAAAGATTCCTAGAAAATATAAATACAAATGTTAGAGGTGAAGCAGTAGTTTTATTTAAGTAGCTACCTGGTCTTTTGAGCAACCTGGTCTAGTGGAAGGTGTCCCTGCTGATGGCAGGGGGGTTGGAACTGGATGAGCTTTAAGGTCCCTTCCAACCCAAACCAGTCTGGGATTCTATACTTGGAAATAGTCTACTTAATAGATTAGAATACCTGGACTAAGACAAAGATTAATCTAATATTTTCCATTAGTAAAATATGAGGGCACCTTGTCCCACCCTATAGTATCTGCCAGGTGTTTTGACACTGGTAACCATATCTTTGCTAAAATTAATGGATTTTTACTGATTATTCTTAGATAAGGCCATTTAATGTAATTTTTTTTCCACTGAATTTAGTGCTGATGAGTCTTAATATATTAACCCCTTGGGTGCTTTGCAGAATGCTTATTTGATATGAACCCAGATTCATGGGGTGTGCAGTATCACAGCTGGATAGAACCCTGAGTCACCTGCTCTGAGTTCAGGGTTGGCCTAGCTCAAGAGCTTAGACCTAGTGACCTCAGTCTTTCATTATTCAATGATCCTGTGATGAGATGTCTTATTAGATCAGTATCTATTTCCTACGGCCTTTGGAATATAGGTGGAGTTTGGTTATCTTGACGTTTAGCTAAATAATGCTTTTACATCTTGGTATTCTTAGTGCTAACAGAGGTATAATTTCTGAACATTGGTGAAAATATTTCTATTCCTCCCCCTCGAGGTACACCATCCTACAGATGTTCCTGCTGGAACAGGTTCAGGTTTGTGCAGGAGGACACTAGACCTTCAGGCCATCTGGTAGGAGAATTAGGAAGCTTCAAAACACACACACATCTAATGATGCATGATTTTTTCATAAAAATATGCCCAAGGCAAAATAGACTTCCAGGTCATAGCACTTCAAGGGCTGTACAAAGTCACCACAATCCTTGGTCATCTGGAGGGTTTACTTTCTCACTAATATTTCTTTTGGCAAGCCCATGATCCTTTCATTTTGGGTCAAAACTGGCCAATTCAGGGTGCGTAACAGGTGCTGGCGTTGGGAACCCAACAATGTTCTTATGAGATGAGACAATGATCTGGTTGTCTCAAAAATTGAATAATTCTCCAACTAAGGCTACTTTTCCTGTTGTGTTTCAAGGCACCCACAGCTGTTTCAGCAACTACCTTTATACACAATGTTGGCCGTAGCTGGAGAAAAAGGGGTGGGTTTCACACCCCTACTTGTCCTCACTGTGATTAAGACCATGTTTATCTATATGATTCCCTTTCCACCAAGATCTGATTTTGGCAGGTCTCAGAGTATGGCCCCAGGACAGGACACTACTCAAGGGAAGGTAAGCTCCTGCTCTGCCAGCAGAGCATCTTCAGCCCTGAAGAGCTTTTGAAGGACAAAACGCCCATGCTGAAGTATTCTGTAATCAGATGTCTTTAAGAGAAAATTTTTTTTAGTGCAAACCTATTATTAGAGGAATACATAATCCTCTTGAGACAAATTGAGTGTGGGAGCTGAAGTCATTACCACAGGAAGATGAAGAGGGTAGGAAGATGTGTTGGGAGCAGCCAGGCTCAAGCCTTTGGGGTGAACAAGGGGTTACACCTCCAGGGAGCTGTTTGACAGAGTTCACATCTCTAACAAACATGAATCTCTATCTTTTTTCTGCTTAGGGAATGTTAAAACTTATTTTGATCTGTGAAAACAGAAGGAAATACATTTTGCCATGCCTTAGTCCTCCTAACTGCCATGCTACCACATTAATGCTATTATGGATGTATTCAATTCAACATGTTTTTCAGAAATTAAACTAGAGTCCATCCTATAGATTAGTCCTTAGAGGCCTAATTTGGTATGTGGATAACCCAGCTATAAATACCATAAAATAGTGACACAAGATCTTCAAGAGGTTACAAATTGCACTGTAGTCACATCCAGTGCATGCTTTCCCGTTAGGGTTTTGTTTTGTATTTGTCAGCTTAACTCTGTTCTTCTCAAGGTGGCAGGAAATGGTGCTACACCTGCTGGGGCTTTTTCTTTTCCATTTTTGCTGCCAGTGAATCCAGACTCCTACTGATCGATGGTGTCGCTTCAAGTTCATAATACTAGTTTATTGGTACTTAAAAGATATTTTTCAGGTATCTCAGCAGACAGGGTTAAAAACCACAGAATCACAGAATGGTGGGGTGGGAAGGGACCTCAGGACATCATCCAGTCCAACCCCCCTGACAAAG